CGCTCCTTGACTTGCATCCCCGCCGCATTCACCACCTCCTTCAGCGCCGCCTCCAGCGCCACCAGCTCAAAGGGCAGCTGCAGGGAGTCGTGGGAGTGCATGCCGCCTGCAGGGGGCGGCGGGGCGGGGAGCGGCGGGGTGTTGGGGGGGCAGGAGAGGCAGCAGGAGGGGCCGCCACCCGCGCAGATGTCGGCAGCCGAGCTGCAGATGTGCGTCAGCCTCTGTGCAGGCGCCGGCGCCAGCCCCGCGCTTACTGGAGTGGTCGTCCTCAAAGTCAGAGTGCTGGGCGGCATGCGGGCCGCCGTGCATGCTGATGTCGATGCTGACTGGGCGGGTGGCCGCGCTCTGCTGCCGCGCCCACTCAGCGATGCTCTCCTCCAGCACATCCACAAACCGGTTGCTGCGGGGGCGGCGGCGGCGGCGGCGGCAGCGTTCCGGCAGAGATGCAAGGAGGGGGCGGGGGGGCACAGCGGCGGGGCCCGGGGCGGCCAGCGGGCCCGGCAAGCGTAGCAGACAGAACACCCAGGGGCGCCGCCAGCCCATCTGTTGTGAAGCGCAGCGCACCTGAGCGGGTTGTGCTCGTACCCCTCCCGCGGTATCAGCACCTTGTCTGCCGTGATGATGAGGCGCACGTGTTCTATCGACAGGATGAAGGCGTTGTCGCGCACCAGCAGCTTGCCCGTCTCTGGGGGCGGGAGGGGCGGCAGGGGCGCAGGGGTGGAGGCAGGGCAGCGGGCCTCAGGCAAGGAAGTGGCCGGGTGAGAGGTGCCGGCTCGCAGGTGGGCAGCCACGCCGCGGCACCCTTGCTAGATGCACAGTCCTCAAGAAATTGGCGTCAACCCGGGCGGGGGCCAGCGCGGCTGCTGCCTGGCCTGCCGTGGGTGTGCGGCGCACCTGAGGAGAGGAGGTTGAAGTCGAGCAGGCGCATGTCTCGGATGGGGATGCCCAGCCCCAGCTGGATGATGAGCGACCGCTTGTCGGCGTGCAGGAAGGAGCGCTTGGCATTCATGTCGATCACGATCCACGCGCTGCGCCTGCAGGCGCGGCAGGGCGAGGGTGGTGGGCGGGGGGACGCGGGCGCAACGCTGCCAGCTGCGCGGCAGGTGCGCGTGTGCCGTGAATGCGCCACAGCGGCACGGCGTCTCTCAGGTGCTGCGTTGCATAGTTTGACCGACACTCCCTCGGTTGCAATGCTCCATTGAGGCCGCCTGGGCACTGCACAAGCTGGTGGTGACCAGCACGTCCTCGCCACACAGCGCAGCCGCCTGACAGTACGGCAACGCCATGCTGCGGTTCTCACCGTGCCCGTGAGGAGGCCGCTGCCCCGTGCCGCACCCCAGACGGCCCCCTCATTGGCGGCAGCTTGGGCAGCTGGTAGCCCGGCGGCAGCAGGGCGCCGGCGGCGGTGGTGTGGTCTGAAGGCGACTCTCGCAGCAGGCCGCTGCCGCCGCCGCGCAGCTGTTCAGACAGCCACCCCCTCCCCCCGTGGGTCGAATGGTCCGAGCTGCCGCCGCCATGCTGCTGCTCCTCCAGCGAGTGTCGGCCCAGCAGGGGCTGCTGGGCCTCGCCGTCAGAGCCGTGCTCCATCGCTGGACCTTGCCCTACTTAGGGCGGGACTCTGGGCGGTGGCTGCACAGCGCAATTGTTGTGGAAGACAAGGTAGGTGTGCTTGGGGAGCGGCCCCCCGGCGGAGTAGGAGCTACGCCACGTGGAATGCAGTTCTCCAAACAGCGGCCTCATTACCCCTGGGCAATCCCCACGGTGCCATATGGGCATCCATTCACCGATGCCGATGCCCCCTGGCCTTTAGCCATCGCCACAATGATTGCTCCAAACCCCTTGGCTCAGCATTTCGAAGCGCTGCTCCTGCTGTACTGGAGCCTGGCCAGCTTTGCATCAGTGGTGGCGCTGCTACCCGTGCCAGGCGCCTCTGCCTTCAGGCGGGCCACGCCGCCACCGCTGCCGCTGCACTCGCGGGCACCCGACCGGCACGGCGCCTTGCTGTTGCCTTGCCACGGCCATGGACCTCCTCCTAACTGTCCGCCTCCCACCTGGCGACCCCCGGGCCTCACAATGCAGGTCGGCGGTGCAGCTGTCGGCGTGCCGCGGCAAGCTGATGGATCTGAAGCCACGCCGCGCGCTGGGCCCGCTGTCCGACTGGACCGTGCCGCAGCGCTGGTTTGGCCACTTTTATGCGCTGGGCGCGGCGTGGAATGCCACAGTGGCTTACCTGTTGCTGGGATCGCCCTACTATGCGGCGCTGCCGGCGGCGCAGCGCAGCACGTGCGCCCTGGCCTTGGGCCTGCTGCAGCTGCACCTCACACGCCGCCTGGTGGAGACGGTTGGCCTCATGGCCTACCCGCCCTCCGCACGCATGCATGGCATTGCCTACCTGTTTGGCATGAGGTGGGAGGATTGATTTGGGGTTGTCGGGCAGGTGGCAGTCACTGAGATGCTAGTGGCTTGCATCTGCCTGCGCCCACGTATCAGGCAACACCACCTGCTCCACTTGTGGGGTGCCTGCTGACCTGCCTGACCCGTGCCCTCACTGCCCCTCCCAGCAGCTACTACTTCCTTGTCTCGCTCTCCATCCTGCCGCCATCAGCCTACCCGCCGCTGTGGACCCATGCGGCCGCCCTGCTGCACGGTCGGCGCACCGGGCTGCCGCCCGTGCAGCTGGGGTTGGTGGCGGGCCGGCTCACAGCGGTGCAGCTGGCAGGCGCGGCCATCTTCCTGGCCGGCAACATTCTGCAGTGGCACTCGCACTGGCTGCTGGCGCGGCTGGCGGGCAAGGGCAGGCGGGGCGGCTACAAGATACCCCGAGGTGAGGGCATGAAGTGGGGCAGGCCGCTGCGTGTTGACTGCGCTGTGATGGGGCATGGCAGGGTGCACGCAGCCTTGTGAGGACTTCCTATCATACGTATCCCCAAGCGTCGTGCTGCCTGCTGGCACACCTTGCAGGCGGCGGCTTTGAGCTGGTGTCGTGCCCGCACTACCTGGGGGAGGTGGTCATCTATGCGGGGCTGGTGCTGGTGCAGGCCTGGTGTCGCGCCACCACCTGGCTCATGCTGCTGTGGGTGGTAAGCCTCCAAGCCGTGCCCGCTGCTCTGCCTCTGGACTGCCCCTGCCAACCGCATGCCCGCCTTGTTGCAGCCTACCACCCCCTGTCCTGATGTTCCATCTCACGCCGCTGCTCCTGGTGGCCGGCGCCTCGCTGCAGGTCACCAACCTGTCCCTGGCGGCAGACATGACGCACCGCTGGTACCACGACCACTTCAAGACCTATCCTGCATCCCGCAGGGCGCTGTTCCCCTTCCTCTACTGACGGCCTGGGGCATGCAGCATCAGCGCGAGCCATTGCTCAACCTGCTCTTTGCCATGACAGGACACATGCAACCATCTGGTTGTGGAGGCGCATGCTACAGGATAGCCGAGGCAAATCGAGGCCACGTAGTGTACAGACGGGAGCCGGAGGGCGCAAGCAGGAGTACAAGCGGGGAGAGGAAGGCAGGTACAACATGGTGGTGAAGAAGTCGATACAGAGTCAGCATTGCTACAAAAGCCGCAACATGAAGCGGTCGGCGTGAGTCCACGGCCATCCTCCCTTCAATCCTCACAGGCCACAATGTTGTCCTCCTGCCGCTGCTGCACGCTGGCAATGGTCTGCTGGGTGCGGTCGCGCAACAGTTGGCACTCTGCTGCGGCCAGCGCCAGCTTCTCCTGCTTCAGCAGCCTGCAGGGCGCGCAGGACGGAGGGCAGGTAAGCGGGCGAGTGCATATGCGACCTGGCTCCGACCGCTAGCAGCAGCCCACCTGTCTGCCTCCTCCACTCCCAGGCTCTGCCGCAGGTGCGCATGCATGTCGAGGGCTCCCTGCAGCTGTATGAGCGCCAGCTCCGCGTAGTGCACTTCGTACTGCGCCCTCGGGCCCCTGGCTGCCGGGTCTGTCTCCAGCATCAGCTGCGTGGCAGACGCCCCTGCCGTCTCCGCGCTTTCGATCGCCTCCAGCTGCACAGGGGGTGCGGGAGGCATGGTTACGCCATGCACTGAACTGGTCTGGGCAAAAACTGCGAGCGGCGGAGACGCCGGTGCAGGAGGGGCGCGCTCCCGGCCTGTCGACAACCAGCAGTCCTCACCATTGCTCGCCTCAATTCTTGAAGCTGCTCTTGCACCTCGGCAGGAGCAGAGGCCAGGGCCCTGTGCCAGCCCGCTGCAAGCACAGGGCTTGCGGGCAGGCGGCGGGCACCCCAGCTCAGGGACCGAGCCACCCTTGCTGCCATGTTATCCCGCCCGTGCAAAGCTGCACAATGCGATCCCGCACCATGCGGCAGGGGTAAAGCGGCGCCAGGCAGCCGTGAGTTGGCAGTGGCCGATGGTCTTTTGGATCAGCCTTTCGCCAAGCATAGCACTGCTTGGTTCCGGGCACAGGCCTGGACCTGCGATCACACCACAGGCTTCGTGCTTGACTGCGGCACGGGTTTGGCAGGCCAGCCCCCCCCGTTCAACGCTTGGAGAGGCAAACGACACAGGCAGCGGCTTGATCAGCGGGCGCCGATCGCCGGGTGGGTTGCTGAGAGCTCCAAAGGCCCGCAACCCTGGACTCCTCCCCTCCAGAGGAGGAGGGGCAGGTTGCAGGGCGCCTGGTGGCGCGATCGGGGGCGATGGGAGCCAGTGTGGGGGGGGTGCGGATCTCTGGCAGCCTGGTTTTCCATGCGCACCACCGCCGCCATGTCTGGTTGCCGCCCCCCCGGCGCCCACCTGCAGGCCTGCCCCAAGCAGCCCGTAGCAGAGCCGCCCGCCCGTGGCCGCCATGGACTGCACCTGCAACTGCTTTGGCGTGGCCACCGCGGCGCGCGTGCCCGTCAAGCGGTACAACCTGCTGGTGCCGGACGTGTTCCCGGTGGTGGAGCCGCCCTTTGACAAGCCGCTGGGCATCACCATTGAGCGCAAGATCAAGAAGCTGGCCGAGTACCTGGACAAGAACGAGTTCAGGGCGCCCAAGGTGGGGCGGGCGGCGGGGTCGTGGCTCTGTGGGGTGTGGGCGCATTGTGGTGGTTGGTGGGTGCTGGCAGCATGTGGTGGCTTGAAGTTGTTGGGCCCTATGCGGCCACTTTGTTTGTTGGGTGGCTCTGCGGAGCCTGCTGCCGCTGCCCCGCACGCCACCCTGCCAGCGCGCACCCCCTGGGCTGGCCCCTGCCTCCAGGTGTCTCGCCGCCTGCAGCGGCGCCTGCACAAGGAGCTGGGTGCTGGGCACTACGGCTACGTCAAGCTGGCGGCGGAGACGTACGCCTACCTGCTGGTCCACAACAAGCCCGAGAAGAGCAACCTGCTGGCCAACGAGCTGGTGGTGCGCACCGTGGTGAAGCGCAGAAAGTGAGGGGACGCTGCTGTCCACTGCTGCCCGCTGCTGCCCGCTGCCGGCCTGCCTGCTGGTCTGGATGCCTGCTGGTGCGGGCCAGCCCCCCAGGCTGCACTGCCGCAGCAGGCCATGGCTGGTGCTGTCATGCGCTGGTGAACGCTGGCAGCGAGCGCACCCCTACCCCCGCCATGGCCTGGTGCGGCAGTGCAGCCTGGGGGGCTGGCCCGCACCAGCAGGCATCAAGACCAGCAGGCAGGCCGGCAGCGGGCAGCAGCGGGCAGCAGTGGACAGCAGCGTCCCCTCACTTTCTGCGCTTCACCACGGTGCGCACCACCAGCTATCAAGATTAAAAATTCAGTATCCATGCATTCTGCCAATGCTTAGGCCTCCTGGCCAACGGCAGCTTGGAGCATGTTGGCGAAGGTGGAGCGGGAGCGCTGCTCCAGGTAGCTCAGGCCCAGCGTGGGCAGCAGGTAGCCAAACACGGCGGCCATGGCGGCGCTGCTCTTGAAGCATGACACTATGGGCG